AGAAGACTAGTATGATATTCTTCATTTTCTCAAATATTTTATATCAAGTGACTTAAGTAAGATACAAGAAAAAACATAGCATACACTGTAAAGTTTTCTTGACACTAGGATATTTTATACTCAGCCTTAATAGATCAATCAATAGAAGTCATTTGGATACTCTGGGAAAATGCAATGAAAATTCTGTAAGGTGGTAACAATGTGGGGGCAATATTTATTAACTCGTCTCCAAAGAAGGAACCTCTTTGGAATACTAGAATTAAAGGCAAAGACTAAGTTCCCATTTGATAGAAGATAGTGTTATAAAAAGGCCTTTATTTTCGTAAAATTGTTATCATGTTTTAGACTTTTAGTGAACATATTTGCCTCTCACGCTAATGTATACTCATGTTCAAAACATAACAAGTTGTGTTTTAATAGGATTATACTGTATGTAAAACATATCACATGTTTAAAGATGAAATATCTAGGGAAAATATTTCCATTGCTTACTATTTCTTGGCATTTCATGTGTCCTATCTGATGTGTATGTGCATAAAGAGAACTGGTTTTAGTTATCTAATACTGTGTTATATTTATTACTTCAACTTACAAATGCTTTTATTTGGATTTCCAAACATGAAATTTTTAACATGTTTTATTAGTGAGAGAGCAATAGGGGAACAATTCTGCAGCTAATTTAACACCTATAAATTTCCCTGTTTGTAATGTAAAAGAAGTGGCCTCAGCAGACCACAGGTCAGCTCATATTTCAAAGAATATCAAATGTAAATATTTCAAAATTGCCCTATATTTTAAGTTCTCTTATTCCATAAAATATTTATGGGTTCATTGTTTATACTTTTATAACAAATGGTACCTGGTTCTGAACAGATTTATTATATGAAAGTGTTTATTATTTTTTAAATAGCTATATTTGAGAGGCCATATAAAAGCTAGATGATTTCAAATCAATTATTACAATTAACATGAACACTAAATGTTAAAAACATAGTGATTAACTTATTTGAAAACTTATGTCCACACAAAATCTGCACTCAGATATTTATAGCACTTTTAGTCATAATTGCAAAAACTGTAAGCAACCAAGATGTCCTTCAGCACGTGAGAGGAAAAAAAAAATTGTGCGATATCTCTATAATGGAATATTATTTAGCGATAAAAATAAATAAACATGGCACAAAAATACATGGATGACTCTTAAATACATATTGCTTAGTGAAAGAAGCCAGTCTATATAGACTACATACTGTGTGGTTCCAATTATATGGCAATCTGGAAGAGGTAAAACTATAGAAATAGTAAAAAAGATTGATGGTTACCAGGAGTTCCTGGCAGGGGGAGGGCTGAATAGGTTGAGCACAGGAGATATTTTAGGGCAGTGACACTTCTGTACCATTAAATAATGGTGGATATGTAACACTAAGCATTTGCCAAAACCCATGGACCTTCATAGCACAAAGACTGAAGCTTAATGCATGCAAATTAAACAAATATATATATTTATATATTTAAGAGGTTGGGTATCCCTTAATGGAATGCAGAATATGACAAAACAATCAAACTGTATTACAAATTAATGAAACCACCTCACTGAAGGGTTTGGTGGAGAGAAAGGTCCTGACTTAAGTAACGTTGAAAACAGTCTATAAAACTGAAGTAAAAAAAATACTGTACATAAACACTGTACTCTAGTTGATAAAATTATTTATCAAAGGATATGGGTTAACGATTCTGAACTTGCTGTATGTGTATACTGCCATTGAACAACTAATTAAATGGCAGATGGTGGGAGATAGCTTCTCACTGTTGGGGTGGTAGGTTACAGATAAGAAAGCGGGGGAGGCTAGAACATTTCATGTAGTAATAGGTTAGAGTTGGAGACATCAGTAAACTCATGTTTAGCTTGGTATAGACACAAATGGTTAAATAGAGAACTATGCATAGATATGTGTACATATACAGATTAGTATAAACAAATATATTTCCTTGCTCTGTCAGCCGAGAGGGCCTAGAAGTTATGACACAACAGTTGCAATGAGCCTACCTAGTGCCTGGATCTTGGTTTCTAATCAACTCTCCAATAGAAGAAAATGCTCCTTGGAGAAATGGTTGGTTCTAGGACTGGGACAGAATATATACAAGATAAGCCTGGAGCATCCTGTAGTGCCAGAGAGTAAGAAACTGTTAGGAAAACAAAACAAAACAAAATACTTGATGAGAGTATATATCAAAAGGGCAGAGGAGACAACTGAAAGAGCTTCTAACAGCCAAAGCTGGAACAACTTAAGCAACAGTGATATTGGATTACAATCGAAAGTATAAAGTAAATATCCATGAGTTCATACTGATGCACATAAATAAATGAGGGAAAATAGACAAATCTCACATGCAGAAGAATTCCAAAAAAGTTATGTAGATACTCAAGGAGGTGGAACATAACTCCCTGGTCCTTAAGAGTGAGCTGCGCAGGGTGACTTCCAAAGAGTGCAGTGCGGAAAGCGGGAGATAAAGAGTAACTTACACTGGAGGAGACTGCCAGACTCTACCTCAGTCAGGTGGTCAAGGTTCATATCGATAGGAATGAGTCATGGTTATACTATGTACCCTTGATAAGATGGGATGAAAATAGCACTTTAACACTCGTTTTCCCAAAAACACATAACCCAAGCTTCATCATAAGATAAATATTAGAAAAATCTCAATTGAGGAACATGCTACAAAACACTTAACCAGTTCTCCTCAAAACTTGTCAAGGTCATCAAAAACAAAAAGAGTCTAAGAATCTGTCACAGTCAAGAGAAACTTAGAGCCATAACAAGCAAATGTAATAATGTGGTATCCTAGAAGGGATCCTTGAACAAGAAAAGGATACTTATTTCTTAGTTAAAGCTAAGAAAATGAACAAATTATGGACTTTAGTTAATAGTAATGTATCAATATGTAACAGTAATGTATCAATATCATTAACTGTTAACAAAGGTACCACAGTGATGTAAGATGTTAACTAATAGAGGAAGCCGTGTGTAGGGTATATAGGAAGTTTCTGTATTGTTAGCAATTTTTTCTATAAATCTAAAACTATTCTAAAATTTCAAAGTTTATTTTAAAGAGATATTGAAAACCATACACTCATAAAAAATGGGAAATGGAAGGGACTACAAAAATCATCAATTAAACCCTTAATTTTACAAGGGAGAAAACTGAGGATTAATAGGATTCAGTAACGTGCACTTCAGAGAGGGCCTTGAGAAGACAGTGGTGGCTAGCTGCTAACTTTGTCCTCAGTGACACTAAACGTTAATCACGGTACATAGTAGACACTCGAAAATTACTGAGTGGTGAATAATTCCCCCAAACCTACCTTCTATCCAAATATTTCAACCATTCACTTATTTATTTATTAACTCATTCATTTATTTAACAAATATTTACTGAGTGGCACTACAATTTTACTTCTAGAATTATAATCATTTAGAAACTCTGTCCAAATGAATGACGTTGTAAGAAGCTCTATCTAGCTGACTCAAATTTATGTGTCCAAGGAAGAATTGTTTCAAGCCAAGTATTAAAAGAAAATAGATTGGGGAGACACATTAAGAGTGATGGCTCCATGAGTCGTAGAGAGTACTATGGTTCATTTACACACAAATTATGGGCGATGACCTTTTTGAACAGTATTGTTATTTCAGATTCTCCAGTCTCTCATTCTACTTTTACTATTTATAGAGGCAATAGGCTAAGAGCATAGTTTTGTCTTGCTTTCCAGTTTCAGTTCCACAGTCTTGGCCAAGTTGCCTAATCTTTTTGAGCCTCAGTTTCCTGATGTGAAAAATCACCTCATAAAAGAATGTTGCTTAGATTAAATACACCAACATTTCTAAAGTGTTTAGCACACTTGGCAATGACATTATTATTACTAGTATCATTACTATTATTGTTATCATTACCAACCAACCAGATGCTTGTACCTGTGAAACAATTCTGGGAAGCTTAGGCCAATAACTCAGGTTCTATTAAAGAATACACACTGGCACACTTAATCGATCTTTTGATCTTTCTAGGTTTGATAAACCACAAAATTATCATTGGGTTCTGGGCTATGATTCTATTTATTGACAGTCTAATGCCTCTTTTTCTAAAGGGGTTGTTTTCAAATTCCTTTCTTTCTTGGCTTCTTTTCCTACTAAAGTTTATTTTCACATTAACATTATCGTTCATTCTAAATCTTCCATAGGCTGCTAAAACAAGATAGTTTTCCTTAACACGCTTCTCTCCTGATGTTCATTTTTCTGACTTTATTTCTATCACATTTAAAGATCATGTTACTCAGGGTGTTCACCTCTCTGTATAAAAGCTGTGAAAAGGTCCAGCAGTACCATTGGGCGCTTTCCTCTTTGTCCCCAGGTGAAAGAGGTCTTGTGTTTGTTATTCTGACTAAATGTTTCTGAGCAAGAAGACTCCCCCACAGTTGTCATTACAGACAAGGCTGCCTGTTTGGAAACCTTAGCAGTTCCCAAGTACCTTATACCTTTGAAACTGCATTTAAAATCAATGCCTCTAGGAAGCAGTGCTCTTCCAGTATATGTAGCAGCATTAGCTCAACATCTTACACAACAGCTCCTTGTTAATTCTGCTCTCCCCTGAAGAGCCTCACTTTAGACTCCTCCATGGAGTCTATTTTCATAAGTTTCACTTCAGTGGCAAGAAGCTAAGTTTGGGTGATAGAGGTTGAAAAAACCACTCTCAGCACAAATGTTTCAAGTTCAGAGGAAATCTCAAGAGAAACTTTAAATAGTTTTAATCAAAAAGAATACTCTTCTACCGAGTTCAAAAATAATTAAGTTAATAAAACAGGTTAATTGTTTCTTTTAAACTGATTTTAAAGGAATTTTAAAAGGTAATTTTGTCTGTAGCTCATTATTATTTTAACAAACATACTGTGAATTAGTGTTCAATTAGAGTAATTATCAAAAACTCCTTTTGTCAAGGATACTCACATAAAATAGGGAGGAATGAGTGAAGGTTGAAACCAGCTGCTGCTTCTCCCCACACTGCCACTCTCAATGACTCCAGAAGGATTTAAGCCTGAGGGAAATGAGAGAAAGTGGTCAGTTGCAGAACAGAGGAGTCACAGATTCTAAATCAGGTCATATGCATGAGCTCCCAGGTGGAAATCAGAGGAAGAGTGTACATGTTCTCATTTTTTCACAAGCTTAAGATGTCCAGCATCTAAAGTTATTTATACCTAAGACATCTCCTGAAAATTCATCTGATTGGAAGAATTTTGTTGTTGTTATTGTTTGTTTGTTTTTTTAGGAAATACCAATCAGCTCGTTTTTCAAATTTAATACGAATACTTTTAACATAATTGCTTAAGTTCTATATCAAATGTTTCTCTACTCATGAATTGGTTCTATCACTAATTTGTGGGGATTTTCTATTTGTAACAAACCTGATCAGACATTAGAATGATAACATATACCTATATAAATAAAACATACACATACACGTATATATATATAGAGAGAGAGAGAGAGAGAGAGAAAATATGGCAAAATGTTAACAGTCATTGTAGAAGGAGATAAATGTTCAGTAGACCAGTCTTTCAGCTTTTCTGTATGTTTCAAATTTTTCAAAATAACAAGATGGAGAAAAGTTTTAGACTAGCTAGAATAGTTTTGAGGGTATTGTGTGTGTGCGTCATGCTGATAGTTGGGGGACATTATATCTATATCAAATGTTTCTCTACTCATGAATTGGTTCTATCACTAATTTGTGGGGATTTTCTATTTGTAACAAACCTGATCAGACATTAGAATGATAACATATACCTATATAAATAAAACATACACATACACGTATAACACATACACTATATATATAGAGAGAGAGAGAGAGAGAGAGAGTAAGTATCAAATGAAAATATTTCTAGCAATCTGGACAGAATATCTGAATGGCCTTACCTACCCTATATAAAAGGTTTATTTTAGGGGGCTCCCGAGGCTGTCTCAAAGAGACAGCTGGTCTCCAGAGCAACATAAAGCAGGGTTCAACAAGAGGTCTGAGTAACAAGCCATCAGGAGAGAAAACAAAACAAAATGCTCAAGTTTTCATATACAGGAAAACAAATAGTGGTTTCAGATTTGAGCCCCAAATGAACAGTCACAAGGGCAGCCTCTCCAACTGCAGGCCTTGGTTTGCAATTCAACTGCTTCTCAAATGGGCAACTCTGTGTAATGGCTATCAGGATGAAGAGCAGCAGGCATTTTTAAATTTAACAGTGTTCAACAATTCTCCCTTAAAATGATGGGAAGCCCAGCGAGCAAAAGTAAATGTCTGAAATACAAGGAGCTGGGAGGCCAAGATAAGATCCAAATGTACTTTTAGGGGAACTCTTTTCTAAGCTATTAAGAATATGATCCGGAGGCACTGGACAGTTACCATAGAGCTGTTGTGTACCACTTGAAGCACTCATGCAAGAAACACAGTGCCAAGTATATAGTATGGATTTGAATATTGCTGAATATAAAAATGATCCACTATTTTGAACAGCTATGGATTAAATACAAGGAAACAAAATAAGCAGTGAAACAAAGGAAACAAAAAAAGAATTAGACATACAGGAAAATAATGGTAAAACAAGAGAGAAAGAGAGAATCCATCCACAGGAAAGCCGATTTGTTTTGGCCCCATACTTCTGGCCTAAATCAATGTGGAGTAAGTAAGATGGATAGCTCTTAAGATAGAGTGAAGGCTGAAGAGTCTCAATTTTCCCCCTCATACTCACATATTTCTACACATTTAAGTTATACAAATAAATTAACCCTATCTGTGGCATAATCTTTATTTAGTAAATATTACAGGAAACTGATTTATAAATAAGCAAAGGAAATGTGGAATCAATTGCACGTATGCCTCTCACCTCTTTTCTTGAATTCTGTGCCACTTGCTCTAGCACAGCCAATGCTCCCTAAGATTCTGATCTTAGCTCTATTCTCTTCTCACTCTGTAATCCATTCTAAGAGTCACAATGATGAAGAGCCTAGACACTAGAACCACTTTCCGGAGTCTCATCACTTTCCGGCCATGTGTGTGTGTGTGTGTGTGTTTGTGATCTTGGGAGGTTACCTATCACCTCTGAGGTTTGCTCACTTATAAAGTGGGACTAATAATAATATCTACTTCATGGAGTCATAAGGAGAAGTGAATGAGTTGAGACAAGTGAAGTACCTGGCACACAGTAAGTGCTCAGTAATTTCTAAGTAGTACAACCATGGCTTCCACTGTTATTTAGTTGAATAACTTGATTAGTTACTTAGTTGATATTTAGTTGATGAGTTGATAAACTCTAATTCTCTAGCCCATACTACTTTTCTGAGCTACAAGTCCATTTAACCAACTGCCTATTCAACATTCCTAATTGCATCTAGGGCTCCTTAAATTCAACATTCACGAACTAATTCACTTCTATCTCCCCACTCCTGCCTCAGCCCAAACTGCTCTTCTTTTTGTATTCTTCCTCCGAGATGAACAGCATCATCCAAGCAAGGGGCCAAGTCTTTGAAATTTAGTAAAGTCTACTACCCTTCTCTCAACTACCTCTACCTTGAACTTAAAAACCTAATTAGTCACCAAATCTTTTCGGTTTTGCTTCCTATCTCCTCTCCTGCATTACTGCAAGGGCTGCTCTTTGCCTGTCTCTAGTCCTTTTCTTCCCACACCATCCTTTTTCACACTGCAGTCAGGGGTTCATCCTTTTAAATATTTTCCATCATCTTTCCATTCACCTTTTGGGTAAAATCCAAAATTTTTAGCATAGCATATGAAGTACTTCATCAACTTATCTCTCTTTATCCCTCTAATTTTATCTTCCACCATTCCTAGTTCCAGGACACAAAACTACCTGTAATCCCCAAACTTGTTATCCTTTCTTTCACCTTCATACCTTTGTTAATACAACCTAGAATGGTCTTCCTTTCATTCTCTATCTAGAAAATCCCTTTTCTATTATAATATTTCCAGTTTCAGCAACACTACTCCAAATTGAACTCAAAACAAAAAAACAAAAAAACAAAAAACCTAAGAACTGAAGGATTGTTAGAAGGTGTTACACTTCCAGTATAGTTTGCTCAACACAGAGTGAAATTCCTTTTGTGCCTTTATTTCCGAGACATGGAATAAATTTCTTTTCTACTCATTTTATTTTTTGTTTTCCATTGGCTAGTTGTGACTCTTTGGGTGGGGAGCTGGATAGTTGGAATATACATTCAACCAAAATGTTATATACTAAGAGATCTAGATGGTGAGGAAAACTTGGTGAAAAAATATAAAGAAACTGTGAAAGAAGAAGAGGTGCTCAGCTATTTTCCTAAGTCATATTAGCCATTTCTCCTCTTCTTCCTCTCCCTCCTTCCCTCTCCCTAGCTCTGTCTCTCTGTTCCTACCTTTCTGTCTCAGTGTGTGTCTCTCTCTCACACACATGCATTTCTCTTAAGGTAAAAACCACTCTCTCTGTGTTCTTTTCAAATCCCTTGGGTTTTATATTTTATTACTCCAAGTCTGCCTCCCTGACATTCTTGTATAGACTCGTTATTTTTCTCTGTAAAGAAGCTGTTTAGTTAGTCCTCGCCTGGTTTGTAAGTACCCAAGGCAGCCAGTTCCTGCGGCCCAGTCTACTTCTCCCGTCCCCGCTCTCCCCCCGCCCCGCCCGTCTTGGCTGGAGCAGCAGGTCTGTCAATTCCAGGAGAGAGACAAGGCAGACAAAGGTTCATTTGTGAAGAACCTCCTTCCAGCACCTCCTCTCTTCTCCTTTCGCCCAAACTCACCCAGTGAGTTGGAGCATTTTAAAAGATTCTTCTGCCAAGAAGACCAAAAGGAAAGAAGGAAAGGGTATGTAATGTTTTTTTCTTAAAAATCTTTTTATGTCATTTATTCTATCCCAAACTACTGTTATAGATTAGAGCAAATGTATTTATGTGTTCAGTCATAAGAGAAAGAGATGATGGATGTACTTTGAAAAAGAAGATGCTTCTTAGGATAAAGGATAAAGGAAAAGAATCAGATCAAAGGAGAATAGGAACTGTACATTCCTTAACTGGGAAAGTCACTTAATCAAAGTTTTAAAAAGAGGCAGCTTCCTCTCTGTTATTTCTTATTAATGCACACATCCACTCTGACTCTAGTCCGACATAACAGGACTTAATTATGCTACCTCTCAAAACTAGGTGAGGATGATGAAGTATGTAATTTTTTAAATGTAGTAGCTATATCTCTATAATACCTTCTCTACATGAAGTTAACTGCAATGTCTAAGAAAGCTAATGTTTTTTTGCTTTTTTCAAAACCCTGATTCCTAAAAAGAAACTAGTATAAATGTGCGATACAAATAAGGAATTCATTGAATTCATCCTTGGTGTCCCCACCATGAAACACAGTGCAGTATCTGTACTGCTGAGCTGCTGAGATAAAGGGGCCTTATAAAAATTCCTCTCTTAAATTCCTTAACTTAGTTACACGGTCTGTGAAGAGCTCTCCCAAATGCTGGTCTTTTTCTCCATGATGATCTATTGTGGTCAGAAAAACCATTAGAATAATGCAAGACTGAATATTAATATCATCTTCTAGCATTCTCTGACAGGCCTGAGGGCAGATCACCCTCAGAGAGGATGCAGACTTTGGTTTTTCACTGATGAAGGTCTCTTGGATATTTGGGCTGATCATGTCTGTTTTAATGTTATTTGAAAGGCTTACCCACTTTCTAATATCACTTCAATTCCTTTAATATACACTTTAAGAAGTTTCACTTCAGGATTCAGTCATTCTAACACAAACTTCTTCTCACACGGTTAATAAGAAAGAGAGAATTTAAAAAATAACAGTGATTTTCATCCTCCAAGAAAGATGATGGAAAACATTACAGACTGGACAGCAATTTTAATCTCTTCCAACTGTAATTTTGATGTTTTAAATGTCAAGTTCTGGGCAAATTTTCATTTGCTTTTGCAGCTTTTGCTTCTCTCGCTGTGTTTTGAAAGAAATCTGAAAATGAACTGCCCTTTCTAATTCATCAACTCTGTTTCATTCCACTTCTTTTCATATCAGTTCCTAGAACTGACATCATGTGCCTACATGAGCACTGCACCATAAATGTCTCAACACTTAAACTATGTAGCTCTGTTAGCTTTGCCCATTAAATGGGATGATTTTTCTTTTTAAGTCTCCATTTAACTCCAACCATTCAAAAGCTTGGTAGTGCCAAATACCCTCACACAATCAAGATTTTCAATTCCCTACCTATATGATGGTGGCAATGATTCATTGCTTAATTGGAAATATCTTACCCATAATTCTGTATCCTCTGCTTTGATCTTTTAAGTATCATGCCACTATTAGGATATGAATGGTATAAATTAGGCACAATATTAATTACATAAAAGTGAATCTGAAAACAAAACCAATGAATAACTATCTGTAGATCTCTTGCTTATTCCTTCAGATATTCAGTTTTTAGCTTTGTTTTCTTTTGTAATTTGGATGTACTCCATAGGAATTTTAAGTGCATGCATGTCAACTGAAAGAGAAAAAAAAAAAAATAGAGCAATTTGCTTCAAATTTGCCCACGTCATTTCATCTTGTTGGAACTTGAAAATATATAGTCTTGATTGATTGTCAAGGATTAAGGTTGATGTCTTCTAATGAAAAAGAAACTAACCAATGTATCACAGGAACAAACTAGTTCAGACATTTTCCACTTGCTAAATAAGAGTTAAAGCTAATTATCTACACTTAAGTAAAGGAAGAAGAGAAGACTTCAGTTCAAACATGTAATTTCTAAAGTGTTAAAAAAAAAAACCAGTAAGTACTGCCGGGTGTGGAACTTTCCATCGTAGTATGTGACTGAGACTGTGACAGAAACACTGTTTTATGCTCTGGCATGAACATAGTCATAAGAGGTGCATGGTATGGCAACATACCCACTTTTCCAGCAATTTATTTTTCATTTCCTCAGTGAATGTTTTTTGAACACATACTGTGAGCCCAGCATTGAAGCAGGCTCTTTGAGAGATGCAAAAAAAAAAAAAGTAGAAGTTACAGTCCTTGCCTTTATGATGCTGGCAATCTCCTCTTCCAGTCCTTTGAATGTTGGCTCACTCTAGACCTCAGTCCTTTGCCTCTTCTCTTCTCAATCTATCCTTACTACTATATTGCCAGTCCCATAGCTACAAATACTATCAATAAATATCCTGATGACTCTCAAATTTGTATTTCTAGCTCTGACCTTCAGATTCATATTCAACTGTCTATTCCGCATCTTCACTTGGATGCCTAGTATACATCTCAAACTTAATCCCAAGATTTTCTCTTGAATTCCCCCCAAATTGACTGCATCCAATTCTTTCTCAGCTCAATAAATATCAAAAGCATTAAGGTCAAAACCTAAGAGTAATACTGCATCATATCTTCCATCAACTTCCACTGATAGCCTCTTCTACTTCCAATTTTATCTCACCACAACACATCTGATGTTTCAAAAGACATAAATCAGATCATGTTGTTATTCTATCAAAATCTTCCAATGGTTTCCCAATATACTTAATAAAATCTAAAGTCCTTATCATGTCCTATAAGGCCCTTTATAATTTTCCTCAATCCTCCTTCCTGGTTCTAGGTAAATTCACAAATGACCATCACTAAATGGCCAAATGGCTTTCAGTGCGTTTCCCACTCCCAACTGTAGCCATATTCTCCATATTGCTTGCTGGCTTATGAAAAATGTTGACAATGACAAGGCATTACTTAGTCAAATTCACAGTTCTTGTAGTACAGATCATACATAAGTACTATGGGAACAAAGAGCAAGGGAGCTATTAAGAATGGTATGGCCTGGATCAAGGCTTCTTAGAACATAAGAGTTTGAAATTTGTCCTTAATTGATGGTTTGGTCAGAATTTAACAAAAGGGAAGAGATGAGAGGGAACAAGGCAGAGACACATGTGAAGGACTGAAGAGGTGACTGGTCTGACTGTCTATTAGCTCAGCGGTAGTGAATGATACATGTGACGGGAAAGTGGAAGAAAGACCTGAGGAATAGTCCTAAGAAGTTCATTCTTTTAGATAACATGAAACCTCTGTAGGCTCTTGCTCAGGATTAAACATGTGTTTTCAGAGAAGCATTCATTTAATACTAAAAATATGGGCCAAGCATTGTATTAACCACTGGGTATGTGGTGGTGAACAAAATAGCCTGCCCTCATGGAGCTTTCTGTTGAATGGGAATGCTAGACATAAAATGAGTAAACTCACAAATATACAATTTAAATTGTGATAAATATTATTAGGGAGAAGAATAGAACACTATGAAAGAATCAGGTTGAAAGTACTTCAGATTGGCTGGTTTAGAAAAGACTTTGAAGAAATAGCATTTAAACTGAGACTTGAAAGTTGAGAAGAAGCCAGTCAAGTAAAAAGCATTTCTGGCAGAGAGGGCAGCATATAGAAAGACTCTAATGGAGGAAGAAAGATTTCTTTTTAGTTACAAGGAAATACTCTATACATCTTTATTGCAGTATTTTTTAAAATGGGCGATATGGACTATTTTCTAACAAAATATAATTAATCAAGATTAAGTCAAGAAGTATAAACTATGTAGTATTTGTGACATATTTATACTAAAAAGTATTCATTGTTTATCTAAAATTCAAATTTAACTAGGTATCTCATATCTTATCTGGCAACCTTATATTTTAACAATATCAAATATAATTGTCTGAGTGGCGATATCATGTATATCAGAGACACAGGACTGTAGAAAAGGTCAGAGAGTGCTAGTATGTGGATTTTGAATTCATCTGCTTTTATGTAGCAGAGTCTAATGGAAACACTCTGAGGAATAAACATGAGTCAAGATCAGTCTTCAAGATGAGTTTGTCCAAATGTGTCTCAGGCTTCCATTCTTTTACCTTTCCTCCTTTTGTTATTATCTTATGACCCTGTACTTCCTTCTTAATCTTCTTCACTGGCTTATAATCTCTTTCTCTGATTAATCTTCCACCCAGTCCATAAATGTTAGAGTTTCCCAGTGTCCTGTCACTGGCCATCTCGATTTGTCCTTCTTAGCATCCTCACTTATGCATACCTTAAAGAAACACATCAAAATGTTAACAGCAGTTCTCTCTTCACTGAAGCTCTAGTTGAATTTTATTCTATCTATACTTTTCTATATCCCTCATGTTTTGCATTGGGTATTATTACATTTTTGAGAAAAAATATTTCTTCAAAAAGATCTAATCAGGCTTATGGCTTTAATTAGAATCATCTAATGGGAAGAAAATTCAGTTAATAGTCACAAAACAAGCTCAGGAACAAACTATACCTATATGCAGGAAATATAATAAGGGTAATGAGCCCAAGTTGGCTAAATGTATAACTTTATCCAAAGCCATAAAAATTAGACAAATAAACTAGATTACCAAAAATAAGAATGACATTACTGCATAATAAAACACTAGGAAAATCAAAGCTGTAAGATATAAAAAATGCCAAAGACCTAAAACAATAAAAAAATTCTTCAAACCGATTAGGAAAAAAGATTAAAAAGAATTTACAGCTTTCTCTCAGAATAAATGCTAGTTGTGACCCCCCCCCAAAAGGAAACAAAATAGAAATTGGGAAATACATTTTATAGTCAGACTATTTATGTATATAAAAAAATACAATTAAATTAAAACAGTAGTATCTGCTGACATGCAAATTTAAGGATTTAACAGCTCACTAACCTCTTTTAGTAATAAATAGTTCTCTGAAACTAGATATTGAGTTTAGCAATCTGAGAAACTCCTCTTTCTCTGACTATAAGTATTTAGAGATTAGGATATAGTATCTATTCTTTCACTAATGTACCAAGCACTGTTTCAGATGTTTGGGATACACATCAGACAAAATACTGCCTCCCTGGAGCTTAAAGTCTGGGGAAACATAATAAGAATATTTTAAAATAAATTAGAGGTTCATAAATGCCATTGAAAAGCAGAGCAAATAAGGCAGATTGAGAATATGTGAGGGGAGATATAATTTTAAATAGGAGAGTGGGGTGGGTCTTATGGAAGAATAAAATGAACAAAGACATGAAGAAAGTAGGGGAGTTAGACATTCAGATACCTGGTGGAAGAGCTTTCCAAGCAGAGGAAATAACGACTGCAAAGGCCCTAAAGCAAAAATATATCTGGTATTTTGAGGAATAGCTGGAACAGAATGAATAAAAGAAAAGGTAGATGATTTCAGAGAGGTAATGGGAAGCCAGATTGCTATGGAGGCCATTACGGTGACTGTAGCTGTTGCTCAAAGAAACTGGAGTTATTGGAAGGGGATAGATTTAGCCATTGATTGATATTTTCCTTAATTCCTTTAGTATTCCTGATACTTAGGATAGTGCCTAGCATAAAGGAAACACTAAAAAAAAAAAAAAAGTTTGTTATCTTGAACCAAATTAAACCAGCTTGCTCCTGTTTTCCTCTCTCTCACATAATTACTTTATCAGTGAACCCCACATCAATGCTATTCTCTGACTCTGTCACTTTCCCAATAGTGGCTGCTTTTCTCCTGAATACCCTTGCCAGTTTGGTCTTGGTATGGGCGAAAGGATTCTAAGTCATCTGAGGAAGTATATGATGATTTGGGCTGAAGATAAGAGAATGATTCTAGGCTATATTTCAACAGCTTCTTTCATCTAGAAGAAAATATACAAGACTCATTCCAGAAGTAGGAAGGTCAGCCTAAATGGCTCCTTATGTAAACCATAATGGGTCTTTGTTGTATTTTGGGACCCAATAGCTACTTACCCTATTCAAGAGATGGGAGTCAGAGTAACTATAATTCAACTGAGGAAAAGAAGTAGAAGAAGGGAGAAACATAGTTCTGAGAATTTGGCTTACGTATTAAAATTACCAGCATACCACACAGTTCATTTTTAGACTTTATAAGAATTGGGTATCTAACCTTCATATTCCTTCCCAAATAGCTACAAATAGTAAGAATGATATAAAAAGCTTTGCTTCTGCCCCAAAATGGAGTAACAAGAACCAGGTTTATCCATTCCCTTGAAACAACAACAACAACAAAACTAGACAAAATACATGAAATGACCTTGGCCAAAACACTGATTTTAAGGAAGGACAGTGAGCCCTAAGAGATGGGAAGCAAGTGAGGTGAGACCTACAATTTCCCTCAATCTGCTGCCTTCGCAGATGTATCTAATCACTGAGAACTTCATATTAAAATTTCCTTTCAACAATACTGTTTTCTTTCAAAGTACAATAAACATATCTGTCTGCCCCTCTTTTTAATAATTTACAGTAAGAAAGACACTTTGGCATCTGTCAACAAGATGAAATCTGAATGGCTGCGGATTCTGATTCTGGTTCTTCCACTATCTTACTAGTCTTCTTTTACTAAAATAGCCTCCATTCTTTTCATGCATAATATGAAACACAGAGAAGCCTGATTAAATAGATGATTAATATTCCATAGTTGTATGTAAATATTACATTTAAAGAGTTATCTCTGGGAAGAGAATTAGACTTGTTTGGTACAACTCCAAGAGTTCAAACTTCATGGATAGTAGCTACAGAAAAATATTTTACAGTAAGGGAAACATTAGAACTATATCAGTGGGATATGTTGACTTAGTCAATAATGAGTTTCTCATCATGGTAGGTGTGTAAGAATAGGCTATATGTTTATTAGGGAGAATTCAAGCCTTTGTTTTCAACTGATGCTAAAACGAAGTAATCTGAAGAAATAAAAGTTCACAATATGACTAAAAATTTGTAACAAAAATAGGTCCCAAAAATAATTATGGAAGGTTTTTAAAACTTAATTGAACTTTAAATATATCTGCAGAATACCTTTTGTCAATGTCAGGGTGGGACCCAAGTTCTTTGACAATGTTGTTAATATAGGCAAAGTCAAGAACCACTAGACTTAATGATGCTATTTGTTCTAGAAATTTACAAGAGTTTTGCCACCTTACAAAGCAGTTTTTCTCTACTAATATACAAAAATAAATATACAAAAAAAATTACTTCGAGTACTTAAAAATGCAAATTATGGATCTTACCACCACATCCTCCCCCAGCATTTCTCATGCACTATTTCTTTGTGGAGCCCAGGTATTTAATTTTTATCAAATATTCTAAGTGATTTTTATTGTAAACGATCTTAAAACTACACTTGGAGAAACACAAGATCAACCCCTATTCTTTCTATCTAAGAGTTTATCAGAATGCTACAGAACTTTATGTTTGGATGAATTTCATCTAAAAAAAAAAAAAAACTGACGCATTTTGGATTTTTTTTTCTATCTCAGAGACAAAAGCCAAAATGAAATTTATAGTACTTGCTGTCACCGTTGGGCTAACTTTGCTGCTGGGAGTCCAAACCATGCCTACAAATCGCCTCTCTTGCTACAGAAAGACAGTAAAAGATCACAACTGTCACAACCTTCCAGAAGGAGTAGCTGACCTGACAAAGATTGATGTAAATGTCCACGAACATTTCTGGAAGGGGAAAGGATGTGAGATGATCTGTTACTGCAACTTCAGGGAATTGTTCTGCTGCCCAAAGTAAGGAAATACAATCATAAAATATATTGCTATGAAATATATGCATAACAATTCTTTTTTATACACCTTTTCAAATCTCAGCTATTTTGTAGAATCATCACCATTGTGTATGAAACTGAATGTTTTCCTTTAAGAAAGAGTTTGACAGATTTCAATAAAACTAAATGAAATCAAGAAAATTAATAAGACTCCAATCTATTAAATTCTAAATTCCCTATTTATAACACAAAATAGCAGAGGTCAACTTCAAGGTTGATACTTTAAATCAATATGAAAACTAATAAAAGTCTTTAGATAAGAGTCCAGTGAACAAGGTCAAGTAATTAACTGGACTAAAGGTTGGTAATGGTCAAAGAAAAAATTTCTAGCTCTGAGTTAACCTGAAATGGACTAAATAAAAGTTATCCACTAATTTGGAAAGTAGACATATTTTAAGTATAATACATTAGTAGATAAATCAATAAACATTTTTAGCTCTTGATTTTAAAATCATCTTCCCCTGGTTACTGAAGAATCTTTCAAATACTATGATCTTGGCTATTTCATAATAAAATTCATTTTTTCTAATTACTTTTAACATGTCATAATATTTTCATTTTTCTAAGAAACCTATGAGGCAGATATAACCATCTTATCAAGAAAAGGCACAGAGAAGTAAACTGAGCAGCACTATCCCACCTAACTAGTTAATATCAGCACTGACTCTAGAATTCAGGTCTGATTTGGACCAGATATTTTTTTTCTACCAATCCAGTTGGTTTTTAATATGTGCTTCCCAGAACAGCAGCATCAATGTCACCAGAGTTCTTGTTAAAAATGCAATCTATCATTGGTCCCCAGACCAGAGCTACTAAATCAGGAATGCTGGAGGTGAGGCATAGCGATTATGGCTTAAATGTCTCTATATGATTCTGATGCATGATAAAGTTTGAAAAACACAGTACTAAATGATGATATCAACAACTTGAGTTAACTGACTCCACAGAATGACTTAATTTTTCCCAGACTACATAAATGAAATACTGTCCAATACTAAAATACCATGTTTTCTTTTTTGTAACTGTAAGGCTTGAATCCAATTTATAGAAATGTATTTGTATTTATTTTACAATATACTTTTGTGATTAGCTGTGCTAATGGACCAGAATAGTATGGATATATGAAAGAAATTTCTATCTGATTTTGAGTCGTCTTTTTCCCAGTAGCAACGAATTTACTTTGCTAAGCATATTTCTTTTTTTTTCTGCCTATAAACACAAATTTTAATTTCCCATCCTAATTATATGCTATCGAGATATAATTGACATACAGCACTGTATAAGTTTATGGTGTATGGCATGACTTGACAAACATATATTGCAAAATGATTACCTTAAAAAGTTCATAGTTAACATCTATTACCTTATACAGTTACCAATTTTTTTCCCTTGTAATGAGAGCTTTTAGGATTTACTCTCTTCGCAAATTTCAAATATACTATACGGCAGTGCTAACTATAGTTATGTTATACATTATATACTAAGTATATTGCTAAGGATTCACAATTCTATATACAATTTTATACTATTTCATGCATTTTTATACATTACCTATGTGATATTTCCAATAACCATGGAATTGCTTAATATTTCTCCTTCTCTATAAATGGTAGAAATGTATTTATTTGACTTTCTGAGAAATTTTTAATCCTGCGTTTTATCTTTTAAACTTCATGGCCCATTTCATTTATATCAAAGGAATGAGGTTTTTGGTATGATTATAAGGTTTTTAAATCACCTAATCTTTTTTTTTTTTTTTAATAAATAAATGATAGCATAATATCAGTGGCAAATGGGGGGAAAGTAGAAGAATCGATTAGTTTACCTTCTTGGTCTTTGTGGCTTCTGTGGCAAGTCCTCTCACTCATGCTTTTCATTCTTTGTACTTTAATCACCTAAAAAAAATAGTCATATCTGAAATCCTAGAAATCACTGTCCATTTTTATCCCAGAAAAGACTAAATATATATCTTAGCTTTCAGCTAAATTTAACTAATGTTCTATTTTCTTTCAGAAATGTCTTCTTTGGACCAAAGATCTCTTTTGTGATTCCTTGCAGCAATCATTGAGAATCTTTGTATTTTGAAGAACACCATCCCCAATTTCCTCCAAACTGCTCTATATCAGTGTAATTGTAATTCTAGTTTTGATCCAGTACAATAAAACACAGACTCTATAAATTTTTACTTGTCTAGAACAAGTAAAGTGTTAAATAAGTAGCAATAAAAATTAATTCAATTTAATTTTTCTCTGTGGACATTGTTGACATTGGTTAAAATTTTTGGCTAGAAAATTTTCCTCTGAGGTGGTCACTATGCTCAGTAGAATAATTCTGTCCTCCAGATGAAGAGCCATATCCTGGCTCAAAAACTGATAAATTTCTTAGTTATTGACCATCTAATAATACTTAACTGAAAGAATCAGATATAAACTGGGGTTCTTAGGAGGGAAACTAGAAGTTTTCTAGTAAAAAGGGACAAGGGAACCAATATTTGAGTATATATTATGCATGTCAACAATTTTAAGTACATTTTCATTTTACTCTCTTAAAAATAACAAGAAAAACCTCCAAGGTAACTATTCGTAAACCCATTTTTCAGATGCTAACTGAAATGTAAGATATTTGCTAAAAATCAAGGCAAGAATTTGAAAAGTCCTAATTCCAAAGCCCATATATTATACTCACACACAACTGTACCCTTAAAAACTATGATATATATGCCCAATGTATCAACTTGAGAATAACAAAACACATATTTAAAAAAAAAACCACATGGATAAAAATTAAAGCCACATGAATTTTAGAAGTAAATAAAACAGATGCCTTAAAAGATATTTTCTGATTGTTGGAGACAGCTTTGGACTATGTCTCCATCATGGGGCATAAGAGGTGATTTCAGAAAGTCCTTTAAGCTATAAAAATTTATTAATGCTTGCTAAGTGCCAGCTATTAATAAGATTTGGGGATGTAGTAAAGAATAAGATGTACTTGTCCTCTTGGAACTTGGATTCTAATAAAAGAGTAATAATTACAAATAATTATTTATAAATGTGAAGACTGTAAAAGAGAAGGTGTAGGGTGCTATATATTGTTGTGGGAAAAAGTTTAAGAAGCACTATGCCTGTAGTAAATCTAAGAGATATCATTTTGAGAAAAAAAGTGACATTGTTTAATTGAAATAGATCCTTAGAGGTCCCTAATCTGCTTGTGAAGACCACATCTAGGACAGTATCTGGTATCTAGTCAGTGTTCAATAAGTATTAACTGGGATGGACCAAACAATTTTGAGGTAGTCAGAATTCAGTACCTGTTAAAATCTGTATAAACATAAGAACATGTTTTCAAATAGTATGACTGCCTACAAAAGTGCATGAGATAAAATTGTTTTAAAAAATAAAATTTGTTGTTTTATCAATACCACATGATTTGACTGAACTTTTTTCTTCACTGAATTAACTGGTACTAAAATGGGACTAACTCAGTAATAAAACTCTTAAATCCTTTCTAGAACAGTGCATAGAATAAAGTAAAGTAAATAAAGCATTACTAACCTGTTTCATTTTCTATTCAGTATACACTATCTTTAAGGGAGAAAAAGTGGTATTCAGTATCTCTATAAATGACACATCACTGTGAGGGCATATGTGAGGCAACAATGGCTTTTGAACAAATGTTCTCTTATTACTGCAATCAAAACCTAATGAGAAAAATAGTCTTTGAAAAAAGCTAAATATTTAATAGATGAAATTGTATAGATTATGATGATTATTCTTCATCATATTCTCTCCTTTCTGGAAATAACTTTGTAATATGAAATTCACTTATGTCCTTTTACAAATGCATGTATTATATAAGCACACATTCTTTATACTACCAAATAAATGTAAAACCATGAATGTTCACACAATTTACCTTATGCAACATTTTCTGACTAGGTCAGTATGTTTTTAAAAGCCGAATTTCATTCAATTATATTAACCAAGAGATTATTTTTTCAATAGCTTTTAACTACAAGACAACTAAGCTTTTATTAAAAATTAACTATTCCCAAAAGGAAAAAATGATCAAAGTCATACATTTATAAATCATTTTGCATTAACAACCTAAACCTAAAATTTTCTCTCAAAGATTTTGAAGAGAAACTGATATTAGAAAATTATAGTAAATCAATACTGAATTAGCTTTCTCAGTTTACTTCTATAGAATGGTAGTACCATATGTGCTCATTTTTGTAGAGTGGTATACCTCGAGAGAAATGTTTGGCATATATGTAGCCTATATATTCTAAAAATTTTACAAGTCTACAGCAAATTTTCAACAAAAGACTATATGTGATCTAATTTCCAGAGGTTTAGAAGTCAAAAAATAAGTCTATTGGGTATTATGGGTACAAAACTGACTTGATACATTATGTATACATTAAAGGGAATACATACGCATATAATATGTATATAATATAATATGTATACGTATATAATATGTATCTATTCACATATAATATAGTAGCAATTAATACAACTATTATTTGAGGACTATAGTAGACAATATAGACTATCAATGCAACTAGGACATGACACATAAAGTTCATAGCATTAACTTTCAGCTAAAAAGAAATATAAGGAATTCCATAATCTTAAAGGAATGAATTCTAGAGTAAACAGTACTTACACATAAAAATAAGTATATAAGCAAGATGTTGCTTGACATTTTAACTAACTCTATAAATGAATAAGCAATAACATCACAAATATTTATTTTTGAACCACCATCATTTGCCTAGATATCATAATTTGAATTTTGCTATATAAATTTTATATAAATCCATGTAAATAGTATCCAAGAGACCTGGATGGCTACACTAATATCAGACAAAATAGATTTTAAATAAAAAATTGTTATAAGACACAAAGAAAGACATTTTATACTTCGAAAGGCTCAATTCACAAGATATAAAAATTATAAATGTATAGGCATCAAATAAGAGCCAGAAAATATGAAACAAATACTGACAGACCTGAAGGAAGAAAACAGTTCTAGAATAATAGTTGGAGACCTCAAAACTTTACCTTAAATAAGAGACATCTAGACAGAAGATTAAAAAGGAAACAGAGGATGTGAACAATACTATAAACCACTAGACCTAATAGACGTATAACACTCCAACCAACAAAAGCGAAATACACAATCTTCTCAAGTGTACGTAGAACATTCATTAGAACAGTGGTCACCAACCTTTTTGGCACCAAGGACTGGTGCTCCTATGAGAATCTAATGCCTGATGATCTGAGATGGAGCTGAGGTGGTGATGCTAGCACTGGGGAGTGGCTGCAAATACAGATGAAGCTTTGCCTGCTCTCCTGACGCTCACCTCCTGCTGTGCAGCTCGGTTCCTAACAGGCCACAGACTAGTATCAGTCAGCGGCCTGGGGATTGGGGAACCCTGGTTTAAGACATGTTAGTCATCAAACAATTCTCCATAAATTTGGAAAAATTTTAATCATACAAATTATCTTCTCTAACCATGGTGGAATAAAGCTAGAAATCATTAACATGATAAAAACTGAAATATCTGCAAATATGTAGAAATTAAACAGTACATCCTTAACAACCAATGAATCAAAGAAGAAATCACAGGGAAATTAGAAAATACCTTAAGATGAGTGAAAATAAAAACAAAATGTGCCAAAATTTATCGAATAAGGTGAAAAGAAGTACTCAGAGGAAACTACATAGCTGTAAACACTTACATTAAAATAGAAGTTCTCAAGTCAGCAACCAAACTTTATATCTTAAGAAACTAGGAAAAGAGCAAATTTAATCCAAAACCAGCAGAAGGAAGGAAATAATAAAGATTAGAGCAAAGATAAAAGACGGAGAATAAAAAAATAGAATGAAACCAAATAAAAAAAGATCAACAAAATTGACAAACCCTTAGTTAGACTACTAAGAAAAAAAGATAGTCACACACTGCTTAATAAGGACACATTCTAAGAAATAGGCAATTTTGTTGTTGTATGCACATCAGAGCTCACTTATGCAAATATAGATGGTATCACCTATTACATACCTAGGTATATGGTATAGCCTAATGCTCCTAGGCTATAAGCCTGTACAGCGTGTTACTATACAGAACACAAGCTTAAATCAAGCACAAGAGAGATGATGCAATCAAGAGATGTGGTAAACAATGTATGAGACTTCTGCCAGTATAACGCACCATGTTTTACTGTACTTTTATAAGTAGGAAAAGTACACTCCAAAAAAACAATAAAAAGTATAGTAAATATATAAACCAGTGAGAGTTGTTTATTATCATTATCAAGTATATGTACTGTACATAATTAGGAAATTTTCAGCTCTATTATAATCTTATGGGACCACTGTCATATATATAGTCTGTTGTGGACTGAAATGTCATTATTCAGGGCATGACTATAACTACAATTAGAACTAAAAGCAGGGACATTAGTACTGACCTTACAGAAATTAAATACTATAAGAGAATGCTACATACAATGGTATGACAATGAACTAGATAATTTAGATAAAATGAACAAATTTCTAGAAACACACAAATTATCAAAGCTGACTCAAGAAGAAACAGAAAATTTCAACAGTACTATAACAAGAAGACATTAAACCGGTAATCAAAAATTGTCCATCAAAGAAATATCCTGGTAAAAGCAACAAATGAACAGGATGAACAAAAAGAGACTCATGAACATGGACTGTAGACTAGAGGTTACCAGAGGATAAGGGGTAGTAGGAGGAGCGAGGTAGACAGGATAAAGGAGGTCAAATATGTGGTGACAGAAAGAAATCTAACTATAGGAGATGAACACACAGTGTAAATATATATATATGCCTTACTGTTAAAGCGTACAACTGAAACTTACTAGATTTCGTTAACCAATGTCATCATAAAAAAAATAATTAATTTAAATAAAAATTAAAAAAAAAAGAAATACCCTGAATCAGATGGCTTTACTATTAATTCAATCAAACACTTAAAGATACATTAACATCAATCCATCTTTAATTTTTCCAAAAAATAAAAGAGGAGGAACTACTTCTAACACATTCTGTGAGGCCGTCATTACCCTGATACCGGGGTCAGAGATAGCGCAAGAAATTTCTAACCCAATACCCCTTATAAATATAGACACAAAAATCTTCAACAAAATATTAACAAACCAAACCCAACAGCACATTAAAAGGATTAAACACCATGACCAAGCAAGATTTATCCCAGGAATGCAAGGGTGGCTCAACATAAGAAAATCATTTGATGTTACACACCACATTAACAGAACAAAGGTGGTGGTGGGGGCGGGGGAACCATGATCATCTCAATAGTTACAGAAAATATATTTGACAAAATTTGACATCCTTTCATGATAAAAAACACTCAGCAAACTAGGAACAGAAGGGAACGTCTTTAACGTGACAAAGAGCACTTATGAAAAATCCACAACTAACATCATCCTCAAAGATTAACATCATACTAAAAGCTCTCCTCCTAAAAAAAGAATAAGGATGGTTGTTTTCACCATTTCTATTCAACATTGTACTGGAAGGCTTAACCAGAGCAATTTGGCCAGAAAATAAATAAAAGGTGTCCAAATTGGAAAGAAAGAGTAAAATGATCTCTATTTACAGATAACATAATTCTACATAGAGAAAATCTCATAGAATACACAAAAATACTACTAGATAGAGCTAATAAGCAAATTCAACAGTTGTCAGGTCAACATACAAAAATCAGTTGTGTTTCTATATAGTAGCAATGAAAAATCCAAAAAAGAAATGAAAACAATTCCATTTACAATAGCATCAAAAAGAACAAAATATCAGGAATAAATTTAACCAAAGAGGTGAAAGACTTGTACACTGGAAACTATAAAACACTATGGAAAGAAATTAAAGAAGTCCTAAATAAATGAAAAGATATCCCATGTTCACGGATCAAAATACTTAACATTGTTAACATGGCAATCTTAAAATGATCTACAGATTCAAAACAATCATCATTAAAATTCTAATGGTCTTTTGGCCAAGAGAGAAAAACCAATATTCAACTCATATGGAACTGCAAGGGAGCCCAAATAACCTAAACAATATTGAAGAAAAAAAAAAGGCCTCAGACTTCCTGATTTTAAAATTTAATACAAGACTACAGCAGTTCAGAGTATAGTACTAACATAAGAAAAGAAATATAGACCAATAGAATAGAATTGAGAATACTGAAATAAACCTAAACATCTACAACAAAAAGATTTTTGACAAAGGTGCCAAAACCACTCAGTAGAGAAGGAATAGTCTCTTCAACAAATGGTGCTGGGAGAACTAAATAACTACATGCCAAAAAAATGAAGTTGGACCTTTAACTCACTCCATATACAAAAACTGACTCAAAATGAGTCAATGACCTTAAGATCTAAAACTATAAAATTCCTAGAAGGAAACATAGGGGTTAATTTTCATAACCTCAGATTTGGCAATAGATTCTTAGATCCGACACCAAAAGTATGAGCAATAACGACAAAAAGAAAAACAAGTTAGACTACATAAAAACTAAAAACTCTTGTACATCAAAGATCATTATCAAGAATGTGAAAAGGCAATCTACAGAATGGCAGAAAATATTTGCAAATTGTATGTCAGATGTGGATTTAACATCCAGAATAACATCCAGAATAAAGAACTTCTACAACTCAGCACGACAAATAAATAAATATATGATAAAATAAAAAATGAATAAAGGACTTGAATAGACATTTTTTTCAAAAATATACAAGTGGCCAACAAGCACATGAAGAGTCAAAATCATTGGTCATTGAGAAAATGCAAATCAAAATCACAATGAAATAACACTTCACACCCAGTAGAATGGCTTTAATTTTTTAAAAAATGGAAACACAAGTATTGATGATTTGGAAAAATAGGAACATTTGTACATTGCTGGTGGGAATGTAAAACGGTACAGCCATTGTGGTAAAGTTTGGAGTTTCCTCAAAACATTAAAAAAAGAATTACCGTGTGACTCAACAATTCCACTCCTAGGTATACATCCAAGAGAAATGAAACATGTCCACAAAGAAATTTGTACATGAATGTTTATAGCAGCATTATTCATAATAGACAAAGGTGGAAACCCAAATGTCCAGCAATAAATGAATGGGAAACAATCTGTGATATACACACACATATATATACTCACACACATGTATATAAAGTTCTGCTATAAAAATAACCAAGTACTTATATATGCTTCAACTTAGATGAACCTTGAAAATATTACACTAAATGAAAAGACTCAGACACAAAAGGACATAATATAGTTGACACTTGAACAAAATTGGTTTTAACTGCGTGGGCTCACTTGAACACAGATTTCTTTCAATAAATACTGTGAATGTATTCTCTTCCTTATGATTTTCTTAGCACCTTTTCTCTAGCTTATTTTATTATAAAAATAAAGTATATAATACATATAACATACAAAATAAGTTAATTAACTATATTATCACTAAGGTTACCGGTCAACAGCAGGCTATTAGTAGTTAAGTATTTGGAGAATAAAGTTATATACAGATTTTTGACTGCAGAGTGTCAGTGCCCTTACCCTGTATTGTGCAAGAGTCAACTGTACTGTATGATTCTCTATATTATATGTAATAGGCAAATCCATAGAGAAAGAAAGCAGATTAGAAGATACCAAGGGATGGGGGAAGAGAGGAATTGGGAGTGATTATTTATGAGTGTTTTTACAGAGTGATGAAAAATTTTGAAATTAGAGTTGGTGGTTACGCATTGTGAATACACTAAATACCACTAGATTCTACACTTTAAAATGGTTGTGTATTATGTAAATTTTACCTAAAAAAGACATTATGTAGAAATAATAGAGCTTGTTTCCTTAAATAAATACATTTCAGGTATTAATTTTTAGCCTTTTCCTAAAAGGTCATTACCAAATAACTTATTTCTTGAACTCATTGTTTTCTTTCTTCTAACCCAAAGGCAATTTTTGATTCTTCTCCTGATGCTCTGACATTAAAAGTAACCTCTACCCTTATAGAGATGTTTTCAGTGACTTTTTGTTTTGATATAAAGATTTCTAGTGAATTCACAATTTTAAAAACCCAATAGCAAAGAAATAAAAATTTTATATAATATCAACGTTTTCATTAGTTTCTTGAGTTCCCCAGCTTTGATGAGGTTCTCAATTTTTCATGTTTTAAATTGCTCTAAAAAGATTTAAATTCACTAATCAACACCAATTCGTATTCACTTCTTATCCAGCTACATTTTATGCAAACAAATAGCGATATGAAACTAACATTTCTAGTCCAAGGTTATACTCATACATTTTAATGTAAGAAAATAATGTCAAGCTTTTTTTCTCAAGAATGGAGTGTGTTTTTATAGGAAAAAGTAAGCCTATAGTAAAGTTTTTATTAAAAAATTGTCTGTATAAGTTTTGGTAAAAATATAAAATTTGGAAGTAATGCTTTCTTCAAATAAACCACATCTTGTTGCTATGTGGTTCATTTTCATATAGCTAAGATAAAAGTTCTTACAGAGATTCCTGGAAGCCAGGTTAGAGGATTCTATATACCAATTATCATAGTTTCTACATATCAATAAAGAAGTAAATCTTTAAATGGTGATAGCAAAAACAAAGGTTTTGTTGTTCACCATGTTTTCTAGATGCCAACAAACTTAGAACACTTATAAACAGACTCACCTTTCTAATGAACCAGTACTTTAGATTTAGCTACATCAGTGGTTCTTAACCAGGGGTAATTTTGCCCTCCCATGAAATGTTTGGCAATGATGAACAATATTTTTGGTTGTCATACCTCCAGAGTGCTATTGGTACCAGTGTGTGGACTCCAGCGATGCTGCTAAATCTATAACACACAGGGCAGCCTCTCATAATAAAGAATCGTCAGACACAAATGTCAACTTTGAGAAATTCTGTGCTTCATTATTAGTCTCCTCCATTTCCAGCCTAAAATCTAAACCACAATCTCAGAACTTCATTGAAGCTATTTTGTTTAGATGTCACAAGGTATAAATTTGATTTGTAATTATAAGAACTTGGGTAAGCAATACAATTTCAGGAAAAGCAGAGGTTAAAAATATTCAATAGAAAACTGAGAAAGAATGAAATATTAAAGGGAATAAAATAAATCAAGTAACAGCTATGTATGATCAAAATTCAAAGATCTTGTTAGATTTTTAGATCTCTCCAACTTACTAGTTTTAATTTGCAATGTAAACAGTATAGAACATGACTGAAAGTTAAGGGGCATTGCAGAAGTTGTATATTCATGCCATAAAAATACCTTTTCTATAAGACAAAGTTTTAAGAAACAGCTAAAACTTTAATTCTATGTTCTTATTTGAACTTTTAGCACTGAGCTTACCTTTGCTGGTACATTACGTCTTCTTTGGAAGGAGACAGGCATTAAATTAAACTATTTTTCTTTCTTATACTTCAAGTAATAATAAAATAAGAAATTAAAAAAAGTTGCATCCCAATGGAAGTCTATTTTTTAAACTTGTTAGTATTAAAAAGCACTTTACAAAATAATGCTATTTAGGATATCTTTAATTCCAAATCAGATGGTCCCAGAGAAAGCAAATATGCTACATTTTTTAATTCTTAGAAATTAAAAAAAAAAAAAGGTGGGCATAACAAAATGATCTTTATATTAAAATCTCAATACTGGTCCTTGAAAGTCGGTTTAAAATAAAGTTTCACAAAATAAATACACTGAAGCAACTATAATAGTATTAACCTTTATTTAAAATATTTGTTAATCTAGGAAAGCTCATTTTACATGAGTTTCCAGCTAATTATTAGAGTCAGAAACAAACAAAATAAAACCAGAGAAAATCCTCTGTAGAAAAAATACACAAGAAACATTTATTTCTACATGTGAAAAACAATAAACAGTCTTAACATCTGAACATACAAGGCTTAGTCTCAATTCCATCTCTCCTAGTGAACACCACTATCAACCTTGAGATCTGATTTGTTCTTGTCATTCTTCACTGAGTAGATGAAATATGTTAAGGTGTCTTTTTCATTCACTGGAATAGACCTAAAGTGGCAACCAACTATCTACAAAGAAAAAAAATTGAGGAAATTAAATTATAAATATGAACAGATTTTAAAACTAGATAAAAAATACTTTCATCAAAAGAAAAAGTGCTATGTGATAAGGCTATTTTTTAAAAAAAAATTAATAAATTGTACTTAACGAAATACCCCAGGGTGAAAAGCATATAAGAATATTATATGAAAAAAAGAGTGTGATTTCAAAGGACCCTCAGCCCACTCAATTAAATATACATTAATTAGAATGTGTATTTCCTTTTATTTATTTTAAATTTTATAAGTGAAATCTAGAATAGGAAGTAAATATTTTTAGACTTGAAATATCGGTGAAATAAAACAGATTTTAAGAGTCCACATGCATCATGTAATGGTTTAGACCCTACTTAAAGAAGATAAATATAGAGTTGAAAAGTTTTGGTACTATAGAAACAAACCATAAAATAGCTTACAAATGTTTGCTACAACTTATGTTCATTTATTTTTGGCAGTATTCTTTGTTAAAGTTTCTTGAAAATTTTTCTGAATAAAGATTATAGATGGAAAATGAGAGGGGAGAGAGAGGTGATCACTGAAAAATGTTTACCTGCTTTCTTGTCTTTTCATTGTGCTAATCTATCATGTGTACCGCAACTACCAATAGAAGTACAACAGACTAAACTAGGGTGCTCATATGCTTATCTAGATTCTAGAAGACAAAACTTCTTAAAGAAAAGTTATCCAAATGATAAGTAAGAGACTTAAGGTGGATAGTTATCCAACTCTGGAATCACTTATAAATAACTGGATTTCTAAATAAACTATAATACTCATGGCTATTTGGATTATGGTTATTTCTCATTTCTAAAGAAGAAAACTGCCCTAGAAATAATATAAAATTTTTTAAAATATCAGATTATCAAACACTTCAGTTTTGGCTTATGCATTAAAAAAATATGTACATTTAAATGTCGCATTTAAAATAATCAGTTCTTTGCTTCTTATTTGTCCCAAAACAAAAGTACTTGCACTGTATATATTGATATATACAGATACTAATTGAGTGCAAGTCCATTAGTTAATAATTAACTAATAATTATTAGTTAATTATTAATAAATAACTAATAATTAATAATTAACTAATGGACTTGCACTCAATTAGGTTAATAATGGTAGGCAATTATCTACATTTATGCTATAGTAATCTGCTATACAATCCAAAAGGACTAGATCTTTTAAATCAGATTTAAAGAAAATTTGAATTATTGTTGCTTAGGCAAGAAGGAAGAAGTAATTCTGGCTAAAAAGTTACTATATTGGATCTCAATGTGAAAAAGCATTCTGCCAAAGAACTGTACCTTCTATTCATCTTTTATCTTATTCAATATGCACATTTTAGAAAATGCTGGATTACTAAATTCAAGCTAAAGAATATGAGAAAAGTGGTTTATATACATATATATTTCTATTTTGTCAAGCAGGTTAACCATTTTCATTTTAAATATGATTAAAATATAAATATACAAATCAATAAACATCTTAATATGATGCAAAGATTTCTTGGTTCTATTATTTCCTGAGAACACACACACTAAAATTTTTAAAATTCACTGAAGGACTAGAAGTCCTATATGAAAGCAAACTATTTAAGTAAGCTTCGATACAAGTCTGCATCTTCTAGATATGAAGAAAACATGGATGCCTAAAATAAAATAAACATCAACAAGGACAAATTCTGGAATGGTTAAATCAGAAAGTTATGGGAACACTGCTTAGGGACTTACCTCTAAGACCTATTCCATCAGAAACTTAAAGAGATAAGTTCCAATAAAGACATCAAAGCTTATTAATTTATTTTATTGTGCCTCAATTAGGTGTTCAATCAATATTTACTGAGTAAATAGAACTTTAAAACAGATTTCTAGAATGAGAAAAAATTCTCACTCAATAGAGCCAAAGTAATTTGAAGAAGAATAAAATGGAGGAATTTGTCTTATCAAACCTGTTATAAAACTATAATAATTAAGATAGTATGGTCTTGGTACAGAAATAAAATTAAAGCAATGAAAAAAATTCAATATTTCTGCAATTCTCACTCAATATTTCTCAATATTCAGTATTAGACGATGCCTGGAAAACTGCATACAATCCATTGAATAGTCATTACATAAAGAAATATCCTAAGAGGCAGACAAACATTTCTAGGTAACTAGATTCTTTCAGAATAGATTTTTATTAACTTCGCTCTTCCTAACTAAAAGATATTGTTATACACACTATGTTAACAATTCATTAGCATTTAATGACTCTTTTTTGTACGAACACGCTCATTTAAAGTTTTAAATAGTTTAAAACTCATAAATACCTCAACAAGTTGTGCTTTATTAAGTCCTGGTCTGGTTGGTAGTTTGAAGTGTCTTTTGTATCTCCTAAGTGTATTTACTTGTAATTGGTATAAATCGACCTAGAAAATATTAACATACCTCAATTAGTTCATGCGATTTGTTAAAAACATCTTTAATATGGATTATAGCATTTCGATTACAGCACAATAAAAACTTCATTCCATTATTAAAAAGTATTTTATATAATCGAAACTATAAATGTATTAAACTTTAATTATTTGAGGACAAATACTAAAAATTGGGGGAAAAGTTATAAGGCAAAGAACTATGAGAATTGCCAATTGAAAATATAACAAATCAAATTGTGGAACTGCATGTTAACTAGCTATATTTATTTTTGCTTTCATTTTCAGTTGTTTCAAATGTTTCAAGTATTTTAAAAATGTGTTCATATCTTTTTATCAAAGTTTCAGAATACACTACCTAAGATTTACATTTAACATACAAAAACTTTCCTCTACCTCTGGAGTATCAATATCTTGAACAGGTGAATCTCCTCCATCATCATCACTCCCTTTTCTCTTTCTTCTGTTTCGAACACTCTGAATCAAGTTTTTATGATAATCACAAATGTAAAGATGCCTTACCTGAAAAAGAAAAGTTTCACAGACTACTTATGATTACAGTAAAATTTGCCTATATATTAGTAAAGTATATAGGCCACAGTGAATTATTAAAAATAAAAAAGTCAAAACAGGCCATCATTAAGACAAGGGCATGTTTCTAAAGTCTTGCATCCAGTTAAAACATACTATGTCTGGCAATACTGCTGAGAGGATTAAGAAGTGAGGAGGGTGGCAGTAGGAATGGGAGGTAGAGAAGGAAAATAACAAAGTCCAATCCTCTGGATTTGAGTCATCAAATTGCAGTGAGGTTAAACTAGATGAGTTAGGTCATGCTGTTTTTCTAACAAGGGGAATGATGATGTTGCCATAATTTTGCTGTTTGAGAGTATTTTCTCTATTAAAGAGCATATGTTAGTAACAATATATGTTTCCTAATTTTTCTTTCTAATTGAATACCCAAATTATAATCCAGATACAAAACTATTCACTTTAACAAATATGCTATTGATTTCATATTTTAACTACATTTAAATTTGAAATTATGAATTTTTCTGAATATTAAATGAATGTACTTATCTGTAGAACATTTTAACACATTTTTCCAACCAAAGCGATGTGCAATTATTCAAGTTTACCTGAAAAGTTTCTCATGAACATGACTGAAGAACTGTATAAAAACACAAAGTATCACGAACTTTACAAAAACTTTAATTACATATATACAATCTTTGGAGCTGTATAGCAACAACTGAAATATTGGGCTTCATATAGTAACAGTTACTCCCTAAAAAAAAACACAAATAATTAAGGACTGACTGAGCTAACAGGCTTTTCAATTAACTTCTAAACTAAGTGCAAGCTGAAAATAAGGACGAGTGAGAGGTTCTGGCATCTTGTTATTCATTTACCGCCAGCCAAAGCTCGGAAAAATGGCAATGGTTGTTTCTAAAAGCCTCGTAGATTGTCAAAAGAACAGACGTGTAAAATGACGGAAAAAGAAATCCTGATGGCTGCCAAACGGATGGCAAAGCCGCAGACTACGTGCTCCCCACGCTTGGAGCAGCTGTCCCTAGATGCTGACATCGCCGCCACGGTTCACAGCCCAGGCTCTTTGCAAGGCCCAGGGGGAGCTCGCCTTCCCTCTCACTCCGTACTAAGGGAAACCAGGAACGGGATCTTTCCCGACTGCTGTGTCAGGTCCTTGCAGAATTCCACTTTTCATAGACCAGGGGAGCTACTCCCTGGGACAAAAGGCCAGCTTGGGCAGCAAAACAAAGAAGTCGCCTCCATTCCAGAAGTAGCTGCTAGGCTACAAGAAAACTACTCCCGGCTCTCTGTGCGCCTGTTCCCTTTGTTTCGTTTCCCGATCTCAGCCAAGGAGGAAGGGGGAAGAAAGACTGAGCGGGAGGGACGCAGGGATGGGGGGAGGTGGGGAGGAAACCACAGCATGCAAGTTATGTGTCTGCTGCGGGTGGCGGTCGGAGTTGCTGTGACTTTGCTGTTTGCTTCTTACCCGAGACGCCACAACGGGTTTGCAGTCAGGTCTGGGAAGGGAGGTAACCCCTGAACGCCCTGCCCAACAACCCCTCCCGGAGCCCTAAAGAGGTGGTCAGTGCAGGGCTGTCCCGCCGTCACTTACGCTCTTATCCAGCTCGATCTTAACCTTCTTCTGGGAGATGCTCTTCTGTATCCTCTTGCTGAAGCTGGCGTTGCCTGCCGCCCGGCCGCACCGCTCACCGTCCTCCCGCAAACAGCACAGTTGTCCGGGGCCCGGCCCAGCCGCTCCTGGGGGCCCAGCTGCAGAGACGGCGACAGCGCCGGGCACTTCAGCCCCGGCGCCCGCTCCGACCCCGTTCCCGGTCGACGCGGCGGCGGCGGCGGCGGCAGCGACCACGGCGGCCACTGCAGCGGCCGCGTCCCCGCCGCGGCTCATCTCCTCAGGCGTGAAGCCGTTCATGACTCCACGCTCGCTGGCGCCAACGCTGACAGAAATCCCCGATCGCCTCTCAGCTCCGCCAATTTCGGAGACGCCGGGGTCTCAGCGGGGTTCCTCAGGCACCTGCCCCCGCGGCAATTCACTCTGCGCCCCAAGTCCTCTTGCGGCACAGCTAAACACAAAAACGTCCCCCGCCTGGTCGTGCCTGCGGGCTCCAGAACAGTGACTAGTGCTTGGGGTCGGGAACCAGAGTCCAGCGGCGCCTGGAGCTGGAACCCAGCTCGCTGTCACATGGAGACTTTAGCAGTTGGACCGCTGCACCTCCTCCTCCCTCTGGCCCCACGATGTACGCAAGCGCGACGCGCTCTCTCGGGTTCCGCCCCTTCCATTCTGCCGCAGGGCACGACGGGAATTGTAGTACTCTTCTGGGGAGGTCTGCCAGATCTGCGGCCTAATATTGCGCCTCGCGGGTCGAAGGAACTACTCGTCCTAGCATGCATCGCGCGGCAACAGGCTGGTTTTTTTTTTTTTTTTTAAGCCCGGGGAAAACAGGGGCGTGTGGTTGGCCGGGTTGCTGTTTTCTCGCTTATCTCTGCAGGGATGTTGGTTGGTTGGTTGATAGGTATTTAGCTCCTGGGATTTTGCAGAGTTGGCTTTCTAGACGAAGAGGTCGCTCAACTCACCAGGCGAAGCGCAAAACTCAGGGGGCGGGGTAAGAGGGGAGTAAAGGTTCTGGGAAAAAAAGTTTGGGGGCCTGTTTCGTATCTGTGATGAGTTTTTGGTGTGACCACGCTTTTGTGGGAAACCTAAACCAAGGAAAACTCAGGCGAGCTGGCGCTTTGCGTGTCCTAGAGGTCCTGCAGTTAACTCCGCGGCACGAGAGCAGGTCCATTCATTGACGCACCAAATTATTAAGAGCGTCTGCTTAGGGGAAAACGTCCATCCCGACCTCCGGACTGGGACAGGGCCGCCTCGCAAATGCCTCAGCTGATGGCCGTTTCTAAATCCTTGCCTGTTCCTGTAGAAAACCCGTTTTATTCTTTGGTGCACAAAGAAAGTCTACCGCTTCCTGAGGTGGAGCTAAGGATTAGTTGACTATAATACGGCTTCTTTCGCCGCCACCCCTGTTCTTTTTTCATTTCTTCAGGAATGAACTTGGAGAAGGGCAGAGTCTAATATCGTTTAAAAGGGGACGCAGAACCCCTTCAGTACCGTTAGCGTGAGTGCTCTCAGAAACTTACCGAGAGAAATAAACCACGTTTCTTAGGTCGCCTGCATACACATGTGCGCCTGTTTTCCGTGTGAATCACTGGCTGCATAGAACAGAATATCTATTTAACAGTATTATTAGTTTATTTTTCTGACATAAGGCCAAAGGAAGATGGCTCCTAGTATGCCTTCCGTAGTTCAACAACATCAGGGTTGGCATTTATGATTGTCTTGCTTTTCTCTGCTACTCAGAGTAGCATTCTCATGATTGGTTTGAACCAGAAATAATCTATCAATACCCTATTTATAATCAATGTAATTTTTCAAGTAAGGAGAAATAACTGTATAAGCAATTAACAGTTATCTACAATGATCTACATTTGAGAAATATAATAAAAGGAATAAAACAAGACCATGCTACTTAAAATTCTTGAAACAGATAAATTTGTTCACAAGTTAGGAAAAACGAGTTATTGATTTTAAGGAAAGTTTAAAAATAATTCCACCTTTGTAAACCTAGAAAATAATGTGTTCAGATACTGACAAATTCACTCAGTAAATATCTGAGCCTCTGACATATGTATAGCTAGGTTCTATGAGATATAAAACATGATACACATTCCCTACCTTCAAGAAACTTCTGCAATTGGTTAAGTGCTTGAGAATTAATCAACCTCCCATCTCAAACAGCCTTTAGGCAAATATCATATAGATACCCAGCTCCTTTGCCCCTCACGTGGGGTAATTTTGAGGCATGTATTTCATACCATTACCCTGAATTTTCCCATGAGTTTATGCGCAAGTCATTTCTAGTGGTATCTGGTTTGATAAGGCACCCTTTATTTACTGCTTTCCCTTCTTTGTCTCACTTCTCCACCTCCTACAGGTGTTTCCTGAATCCTCTAGATAAACTACCTGTACTCAAATCCTAGTCTCAGGATTATAGTGGGCATTTCCACTAGGTTATTTCCCCAATACCTACCACTCAGCTATGTTGTTTCAGTGGGCGGGCACATGATTCAAGCCAAGCCAGCTGGAATCCTTCCCAGGCAATTTCGTTCAACCTAAAAGTGGAAGAAAAGAGCTCTCTCTCATTCTTCATTTATTATCTCCCCATCATTGTATTTCCAGTAGAACAGTACCTAGCACAAAGTAGCAAATTGAATATTTGTAGAATATTCAATGAATACAATTCCTACAATATTTCTGCCAATCTGCATTTATAATCAGACATTAATTTTTAAATGTATGAAATGCTCTTGTTAGAGTATATCATAGTGTCATAGCATCATCTGCAGCAGTTAAAGAGCACAGACTCAGGAGCCAGAATGAGATTTAAACTCTGCCACTTGCCAGTTGTTAGACAAATAACTGTGCTGGTTATTTGTCTGTTGTCTTTCAGCTCCTTTCTCCTGTTCTCTCCTTTGTATTGCAAGGGTACTGGAATCCTAAAAAAGCATTTCCCAGATTCACTTGCCAGTTGGTTTCCACTTAGGTTCTGCTAATAGAAGATTAAAAGGCAAAAGGATGGAGGGCATTTTTTCTCATTTGGTCTCCAGCAGCCTCAGAAGCATGGCGCTCCTCTATCTGGCTCCAGGATTGGGGTCCTCCAGCTCTTCTCATAAAAAATTCTCTCAATAATAAAGATAACAGCATTCCCTCTGAAATACCCAAAGTGGTTTTTCTTTTCCTGACTCGATACTGACAGTTAGATACTGTGACTGTGTCTCAGTGACTTCTTTCATGAAATGAAAATAGTATATATCTCTATTATTGGTATTATTAGGATTAAATGAGTTAATATTTTGAGTACTTAGTGCCTGGCAAAAAGCAGACACTATGTTAAGTCGATGGTATTGTTTTATACTCTATTGTTAAGTACATATGGCATTAGCCATACAGTTTATGAAATCTAATGTCTCGCTCCTTATACTTACCCCTTTGTGCAACCTGTCCCATAATCCTCCCTTGTCATTACTGCTTATCACTATCCCTTCCTTACCTTTCATGCCTGTCCTCCTTTGCTCATCTCTTCTAAAACAGAGTATATGTTTTTCATTATCTTTTTCTCTCACTTGCTTTAAACATAATATAGACATTTTGGAAGTCTGTAGGGTTCAGTGTTTTAAGGAAATTATTGTATTTTAGAATACTGCGGTGGTGAGAGGCGTATGCAGGTGGTGGGAAGTAGCACTGTAAGTGGAAGGCAAACAGATTTTATTAGAACCTGAAGATGAATCTAGAATCTTCAGAGTAGGATGTCAGGGACCTCATGTAGGAGAAAGGCTTAAGAAATACAGATTCTTTTGGTTAAATCTTGTTTACATTAAGACTATCTTACATTTGCATGGAGTTATTTCATTGACTTCTGTTTTGGGATATTGAACATAGACTTGTTTTTGATCTCATACTCAGATTCTAGGGTTACATTTACTTCATTCCCAAGATTCTGGAGACAATCCTTTCTACTCACCACCCTCCCTAAAAAAAACACAAAAAAGTGGGAATGAGATAGGCCTAGAGGTTATTGAATAGGCAGAATTCTACTGTGGCTGGACAAGGGTTGATCATTATCCATAGAATTGATTACAGAAATTCCTAGAATCTCTGTCTTGAAATTTTCAACAAAGATTACTACTTAAATTTTTACTGTCCTTTAATCTTTCAGCTTGTCCTACAAGGTGTAAATACTTTTTTCTATATTAATTAGTCCAAAATTTCACTATCCATATATGTGTTTTTTAGTCTAATATTAATTAGTCCAAAATTCCACGATCCATATGTGCATTTTTTAGTCTAAGAATTCTAGATTTTAAATTTAGATAGTTTTTTTTTAAGTACATCTGAAAATCTGGTATTGTTTGTGAATGTATTTTTAAATACAAACTACTAAACATAATAACAAAATTATTTAGGGGACAAAGTTGTAAATAAGTCACCTTTATATTTATGAGTATTTATATAAGAACTTGCAATGTTTAGTCATTACCAAACTTAAAACTATCATTGGCTAGATATAGCATCAGCATAGTATTCATATATCACAAATTTTCTTTAACTGGAAACACATAAAAGTAGATATTTTCAAAAAATTCACAAAAAATTATTTTCCTATTGTATGAAATATTCAGCTAAATATTGGCCAAATTAACAATTCTATTACAATTCAAGAGATGCTGACACTCTTAACTACTATTTTCTTAAAATAGATTAGTTGTATTTACTTCCTCTCAAATGATTCCTTTATTTTCATACTGTACTCTGCAGCCCTAAATTGTTCTTGATTATTTTGAATGCAGTGCTCTGAAAGAGGAAAAATAAGTCATTGGCTTTTTTTAAAAACAAAAAACAGCAAACAAGGGTTTTTCGGGGCGGGGATGGGGGGTCACATAGGTTTTCATTTCTCTTGGGTAGATGCCTAGGAGTGGAATTGCTAGGTAAATGTCTGTTTACATTTTGAGAAATTATCAAACTGTTTTCCATAGTAACTGTACTATTTTACATTCCCACCAGTGATGAATGAGTGTTGCAATTTTACCACATCTTTACCAACACTTGCTATTTTCTTCTGAATATAGACATCCTAGTGGATGTGAAGTGGTTTCTTACTGTGGTTTTAATTTGCATTTCCCTAATGATTAGTGATCATAAACATTTTCACATGTTAGTAGCCATTAGTCATTGGCTTTTTAGCAGACTAATTTAAGACCTGATATCCTATGTATAGTAGGATGAAGTTTAGCACATGCACACATTTACATATGTATGAATATATACATATACTTATATAACTAGCACCCCAAATTATAGTATGCTAGGCATATTTACAGCCTACTACAAATTATTATTTTTATCACTTTCTGAATAATCAAAAGACCCTTACAATTTAACTCCACTATCCCTGTTATTTTTTGTGCTATTGTTATATATTGTATTTCCACGTTATAAAAACCCACAGAAAATCATTATTATTGCTCTTTTAAGCAAATAATATTCTTAAAAATGTACATAATTACTCTTGCCTGTGTTCTTTTTCTCCTCCTGAGGATTTAGGATCATTTTCCTTAAGCAGGGCTGTTGACAATAAATTCTCAGCTTTTGTCGGAAAACATCTTAATTGTTGAAAGCTTTTTCCCTGGATATAGAACTTGAGGTTAGCAGTTTTTTTCTTCAGTAATTTAAAGATGTCTTTTAATGGTTTTCTGGGCTTCCTAGTTCTGTCAAGGAGTCAGTAGTTAGACTTAAAATTTACTGTGTCTTTTCCCTCTGGTTCCTAAGATTTTGTCTTTAGTTTTCAAATTGTTTATTATGATCATCTGCAGATGATCTCTTCCACTAGAGATTTGATCTTTCCTCTGTTAGGCAGAATCAACCCCTCCAATAGGTAGAAGGATAAAAGGTGGATTATCTCAATCCAGTGAGGGATTGAGCTTTATGTATCCAGGCTCCAGGCTGGGTTATAAAGTTCTAGTAAAACCCAGTTCACTTCTGTTCCTCAAACATTATCACATGGGCTTTTGATTGAGGTCTTGGCAGTCTCTGTCTCCTTAGACCTGAAATGCTATGGAGTATTCATTTCTGCTCTTTGGGGGTTTTGAGCTTGACTCTCCACGTTCCTGCCCACACTGCTTCAAAATATGACAAATGTCTTCAGGGAGAGACCAGTCCTGTGTCTGTGGCAGACCACCTTCCTTTAGCCAGACTTTTGTCCATAAAGGATCAAGAAATCCTAGATTTTACTTTGTCTTTTAGAAACTTCTGGCACAACTCTCTACCTTCCCATACCACCTGAGAATTCAGCTCATCTGTGGAAAATGTATCATTATGTATATTTAGGGGTCCTCTAGTTTTCAACTGATTGTGTTAACTCCACACAACTGCCCCAAATTTGCTAGATTCTCTTTTCCTTAGTAAAAGTCCTTATTCCTGGGTCAAGTCAGATTGCTTCTCAGTTCCATTCCTAAAATCTACAAATTATTCCCCCAAATCATCAGCACACCTAGCAAGCGGTCTTCTCTGTCTGGAATTCTAGTTTGAACTATTTTCTGATTGCTTTGACAGATCTCTAATGTATTTAGAAACATGATTTTTGCAATTTGTCCTTTTTCCCCTAATTATGGCAGTGAAGTCTTTTAGGACGTAAATAACTTCTTGGTGGACAAAACAGTTAATAGATTTTTTTTTTTTTAAGAAAAACTTAGTTTTTAAAAAATTTTTCAGTGAAAATGCTAGCACCAAAAATATATTGTTTAACTATGTCACTAAATTGGACCTCTGGAATGAGTATACAGTTAGGTCTCAGAAGGAGTGATCTCCCCGTAAGTGGATGTGCCTGTTTGGTAATACTTCAGTGTGCTTATCCTTCCCCTCTCATTGCCTTTACAAAACTTGAAAACATTAAACTCCAATATTTCATCTTTGAGAAACTAATACGTGTACAGAATAAATGGCTTTCAGTTTTTTACATTAACTACGCAATTTGAGAGAATAATTATTTTATGTGCAACTAATCTTATATAAAGCAACTGATGTTATGTAATTTTGGCTGTGTGAGTTAATCAATAAATAATAAACAATTATTGAAAACTTATTATTTGCTGCTTTGCACAAAATGTATATAATATTCTTTCCCTCAGGATTTTGCAATCTGGTTGATGATCGAATTATGAAAAGTCCAAATTCTTAAGATAATTGACCAAATAAATTATAGGAATTTCAATAGCTAGCACAACCCCGATAATTGCTACACAATCCTACCAGGTTGATACTGCTATAGATAAATTCCAGTTTACCTACAGAGAAGCTATTTATTCTGTAGGATAGGGGACCTACTTTGTAAATAGCTTCAAGCCTAACTCAATTAGTTTACTGCTAAATATTTATATTGTTATGATTTATGAAATGCTGAACTAAGGCAAATAAAGTGATATATTGGTGTCATCCAGCAGGGAAAAACCCTGACAAGACCATTTTACTATAAGACTAAAGTGACTGAGCAATATTGTATAATCTAAAGTTTGGTCTTTATAGTATATTACATTTGGGTAGCTATAAACTTTTACTTCATCAAATACTGTTTTGATGTAACTGGGCTCACAACTAACCTAGAACCTGTTTTTTTTTTTTCCCAAGTTATCTTTTTAAATTTTAACTATAATCTCTTGACCACCTAACAATTGCAAAAGTTAAAATATTTATTT